CCAGTATTTTGTGTAAAGCTTTCTCCTTCCTCTTATGAGACTCCCACAGATTTCTAGAAATGCATCTGGTGTCCTGAACATTTTTACCTGATGGAGAAATATATCATAGAAGATTGTGGATAAACATATAAACGTAACTAATACCACTAAGTTGTATGTGCTTAGAGTGTTAAACTGGCAAACAATTTGTCCCATATGTTTACCACAATTACATATACCAATTCCCACCCCCCACAAACCAGCATTTCACTTGAAAGGTCAAGCAATGAGTTCTTCAGATACACTCCAACCCCCTATCCTATCTGCACACACACACACATAACATGATATAAAGTGTAATTTCCATTTTATTTTCTTTCAGGTTAGTTTTTCTTTAGCTGTTAAGGACTCAAATCCTTACATAGGCTTTGGTGGAGGTCGTGGGGCAGCACCCTAAAAGACAAAGCAAAGAAAGAGTAAATAAAAATGATAGGTCTAAGAATTCTCCCCCCCAATATCCAACCAAATGTGACACCCTCTTATCACTAAAAGAGCCATATCACTAAAAGAGCCATACATTTATTTGAGCCCTTTAGGCAAGCAAAGTCGGTAGACTTAGACAGAGACCACATAAAGTTACTTGAAAACAGACTCTAAAAACTCTTCTTTAAGATGCATCATAGGAGAATAGAAGGGCTGTGTATGCCCAGGCAGACAGCTCCAGGGGCAGGAGCGCATGGGAGAGAAGTACACAGGGAAGCCAGGAAGTAACTATGGGGAGGAACTGGGAGGGGAGCTGTTGCAATGTGGGAATCTGCAGTCAATGTCATGAGACATTGTATGTGAGCTGCTGTATGGAAAGTGAATTTTGCTCTGTAAACTTTCACCCAAATCACAAAAATTAAAACAAACAAAAAACCTCTTCTTTAGAATATGTAGTTTAGGTTTGAGTCCCACCTGCCTTACCAGACCTTATCCATAGGCAGAGACAATTTGATATCCGTAGGTCCTTACTAAAGGAGCTCTGGTGACACAGTGCCTAAGGCATTTGACTGCTAACCAGAAGGTTAGTGGTTCAAACCCACCAGCCACTCCACAAAAGGAAGACTGTGCAATCTACTTCCATAAAAATTTACTGCCTCAGGAACCCAAAATGGGTTACTATTGAGTTGAAACTGATTCGATGGCAGTGAGTTTGGTTTTGGTTTCAGATCCTATTAAGGAGCTCTGGCAGTGCTATAGTCAAGCTCCCCAGCTGTTCCCCCCAGAGAAAGATGAGGCAGTCTAATTCCATAAAGGTCAAGCCTTGAAAACCCCATGGGGCCATTCTACTCTGTCCTATAAAGTCACTGAGTTGTAATCAAACTGACAACTAACTTGGGCTTTTTTGGTGGAGTCTTATCTCTATACATCACCCCTGATACCCACAGCCTCCTTTTTGAGATACTCACTGCAGGTCTAAATCGGGGTGGAGGTGTCCGGTCCTTCCGGGCTTCACGAGACCGGTTCCTGACCACCTTGCTGTGAATGGCACAACTCACACAATAATGTAGTTTCACATAGAGCTTGGGAAGCACGTATGCTGGGGGGAAAAAAACTAGTCACGTAAGAATAGGTATTACACCCACCTTGCACTGCTCTTTCTTCATTCTATTAGTTAAGACTACACTTATTTATATGTCTGCCAGGCACCCTTGCAAAACTTTCTCACCCTCTGCCAAACCAACTGTTTACCCTCTGATATTTAAACACCTGCGTACAATTGTCGTTTTCACAGATGAATACTGTACTCTATTAATTCATTTTGCCACCATGAGAACCCAATATACACCCTAGGTGTAATTAACTAAAACCCAAGTTCTTTCAGTAGTAACACCAGCCCTAAATCTATCCTAGGCACTCCCTGTTTGCAAATAAAATAGAGCAAGTAATTCTAGAAAATCCTATGGGGCAGTTCTACTGTCACATGGGGTCACTGAGAGTGAAAAATCGACTGGCCGGCCCCACTACATACCGGAAGTCACAAACCATAACTTAAGGGTAAAAACTGCACGCTCTATCGCAGTTACCTCTGCCCACCAGTATCATTCATTTCAGGCAAGAATCAAAATGATAAAGAATAGCAAAAAAAAACCCACTATCTCAACCAGCAACAACCTTTCAGAAACACGGATATAAATTGTCTGGAAAACTGCGGAGACGCGCCAACGAACAGAGCCTACACAAGAACAAGAGTGTGGAGGCTTGGAGTTAGAAAAATACTAGCTGCCTCGCAGACTTACCGTCGAAGACACTGGCTTCGGAAATGTCCCTGACTGCTGCGGCCTCTACTATATTTCGAATTACGAATTTCTTAATTGCTTTGTCTTTGGGCACGCAGCGGGCGCAGTTTGTGCAGCGAATAGGCTGCACATGGCCGCGGCCCTTTTTGGCACGACCGTTGTTCCTCCTTTTCTTTGTCTGTAAAAGAATGAAGATCCTTACAATAAAGAGTTGCAGCTTACCCACCCTCGGTCAGCACCGGCAACCTCCAAAAAGGACCCACTCAGCCCTCTCGTCCGCACCGGCAACTCCAAAAGGCGCCACTCAGCTCTCTCGTTCCTTCAAACCCAGAAATATATATACACTCCGTCCACTACAGTCTGGGCCCTTACGTCCCCACAATCCCTGAATCTAATCTCAGCATCAACCAGTATCCCCAAGCTCACCACGCGCCACAACTTACCATGTCGGAAGCAAGAACCAAAGAGAGAATGCGTCATTTCACCCAATCCTCTTATATAGTGCGAGATCCCTACGCCAGCACCGGAGGAATCTTTAGGAGACGATGCCCAGAACGACATCCCACTTTATTCAAGTGTTCTTTGTTAATCAGTATTTACACTGAAATAAAAAGTGGAAAGGAGTTCCTAGAGCTTATCTATCCGTAGAACAAGGTACCCATGGGACTATTTAACCAGCTGGCGGAAAGAAATTACGGTTATATATTTCCCGGCAAGCCTTGCGACACCCTGCCCCGGACCTAATTCTGCGGCTTAGTTCTCCGGGCAACGCGACAGTAGGCGAGGAAGTTGTTCATCGCGAGACCATAAAACGCTCTCCCTATTAAAGGCCGAAGGGGAAGGGGTGCATGGTGGGAGTTGTAGTGCAAAACCAAGAGGCTTCTGGCCCAGTCTTTAGACCCACGGCGCTACGCCACCGGGGGACGCCCTCGGATTATTTTTCTGCCAAGGCTGCTGTTTCTTGTAGGCTTCTGAAACTGAACATCCTGGAAGAAACAAAGCATTTTGTTCATTCCTCCTTCCAATATGGAGAAAATCCCACAATGGTGGGCCACGGAAAAGTGCGTTGGTGCCAGCGCTATTTTTCATTCACCTTTGTATCCCTGGATCGTTTTAGCACAGTGCCGAGCAAGGTGGTAAGCACTTTATAAATATGAATTGATTTCATCCTTAACAAGTGTATGAGGTAGGTACTGTTACTATCTTCATTGTACAGATCGAAAAACAGAGCTGCAGAGAAGTTAAATAACTTGCCCAGGACTACATACAGAATATGGCTAGTAAGAGGTGTTCTGGCTTCGCTATAGAATTCTGCCCTTCACCTAAGAAATAAATGGATGAAGGTATATAGTAGCCTGGACCAGTGAGTTCACGTTTCTGATATAGACCCATAGTAGAAATATATTTTACACAGGTAAACAATAACAACAGCACAGACACAAATACACACACATATAAAACTGTAACACAAGCTTTGTGAAACAGTACTTAACTTATAACGCAAGGTACACTGGTTCTATTCTCTATTTTAATAAATGCTGATCAAGACCCACTAAAGTGATTTCACCACTTACTGATATGTCTCTTGTTTGAAACACAATTTCTCGTTTATAAGCCCAGTTTACCTCTGAAAAGCCATCGGAAAGGCTTGATCCTTGAGCAGGAATGGCTATCGATAGGCAGCCAACCACCCATTGGTCTCCAAAGTTGGAGAAACAAGTTGCTCGGAGACCTACCAACATTCAGACCCAACATGGTATAGATAGAAACCAAACCTTTCATTCCTGAATCATTCTAGTCAGAACACACTAGATTCACCTTCCCTCCAACCAACCATCATGGTTTCTCTTAACTTCCAACCCACATTATTGGGGTTAGGATGTATTTCCTGACTTTCATTGACACCAAAGCATCCATATTCATTGTCTCTTCCAGGTGAATTTGTTAGTTTTAGTGGGCATGGAAAATGATAGACTCTAGATAGGAGTGCCTCTATTTTTAACCTCAGTGTAGTCTCAGGGGAAACAGAAGACAGATATTAGCATACAGAATGGCAATGAGTAAATGGGAGAGGACCAAAAAAAGTTCAGAATTAAACAGGCAGAAAATAGTTAATATTTAAGACAGAACCAAGTTGATATTCTTTTCTGTGGATTTTTATAGCCTGGGGGTTTCACTGGTTGCATTCCCTGGAATAATGGGATGGGTACAGGCTTTGGAGTCAGACACTAGTGCTGCCACGTATTGGCTGATGCCCTTGGATAAGTTGTTTATTTTCTCTAAGGCTTTTATTTCTTCACCAGTAATAGTGAACATTCCTTTATTGGTTGTTCCTACTATTAAATGAATACTTGGCACATTGTTTGGAGTTTATGACATGCTCGAAAGCGGTAGACCCTATTTTATCATAACTCCCATTATTGTAATGTATGTCTCTAAGTATATAATGTGTTTTGCACACAGTTGAATGTTTGATGTTTGATGTTGGATACATAGGCAGGCCGGACTGTCTCTCCTACCCTGAAGGCACTCCTGGTAGGCACGTACTTTCACTTCCCATTCTAGGCTAAAACTCTTCTGTTCTGTGGCAACAGCTTGAGCACTCTTGTCTGGCTTCCCTTCAATCTTAGACTTGTTCACCTCCTGTACTGTTTAGTAGTTGGTACAACATGCAGCAAGGAGACCCTCTTCCCTCGCGGCAGAAAAGCAAGGCAAAGAAAGTCTGCAAAAACAACCAGGGGTGTTAAATTACTCATGTTTATTTTTAACAGACCTTCAGCCAGTACAGTACAAAACTTACAGTAGTATATCTCCGTTACACAAATATTTACTTACAATATATTACATATACAAAATGCTTTGCGATAAGTCTCAAAAGCTAGTTTAACTCCCCTAGAGAAAGGAGAAAAACTCTTTAAAAAAAAGGGAAGGGGAACCAGAGGAAGAGAAGAGGAGGCGAAGGGATGAAGATCAAAGGAGACACCAAGCATAGGCTACAGAGGAAACCCTGGGAGAAGGAGAAGAGAGGTGGTATTGCACTTGCTTCTGTGTTCTCTTTATTTTTTTATTTTTGTTCTTCATAACTTCTGATTAAAAATATATATATATATATATATATATATATATATATTATATACACAGGAAAGAAGCTGCCAGAAGTTACAAAATCCCATCCGCAGCTTGGACACGGACACGAAAAAACAAAGATCTGGAAAAGTGTCTATTTAGAAATGTTTTTTTTGTGGTGTTGATTTTGAATATCAATATAAAAGGAAAACACCTCTTTTCTCCATATGGGTTTCAGGTTTTTTTTTTTTTTTTTTTTTTTTTTTCTCTTTTTGGTGATTGTTCCTGTATGTTATGTGGTGTGTGTTTTTTGTCCTCTTGCTTTAAGGCTCTGGGAAATAGAATTTTGTACCTAAGACCCTGGTTAAAGTGCAGTGATGGTCTGGAGAGAGACAAGAGTGCCCCTCTCTCCCCTCCTTAGCACCTGGTCTTGCCCTTCCAGTCTCTGCTCTCCCGGGCACAGGTACAGCCTCAGGGCATAGTCCTTCATGTTCCAGGCAGTTCTTGGTGCCAAAGCTGCTAACTGGGGGAGGGGCTAGGAACACTCTAAGGCTCTGATACCCCAGAAGGGACTAGTCATAATGAGGTGCCACCAAATACACAGCAGACACAGAAGAGGTGGTAGAGGGTAGGCCTGTCAGGAAGGGGCTCAATAACCAGAACAGTTCAGGAGAGCCCCAGATGTTAACCTCAGTTCAGCTGGCACCCTGAAACAGGAGCCAGTAGCTTCGGGTGCTGATGAGAGGACTCCTCTTCTCTAGAGACCGCTGTCCTCTGAGCTAACTCCCCCATCCTCTTGCCCTTGGCAGCATCTGTTTATTGCTATGTTGTCAAGGGGGAATGGTCACCCCACAATGCCCCTTCCTGCCAATCTTGTTCTTTCTAGGGGAGACCGTGTAATGGGGGAGAAAAAGGAGGAAGAGGAGAAAATTTTTTAGGGTCTCCAATCCCATGAAAGGGTAAGGCAGACTCTTCCCAGAGCCCTTAAGAGCCTCAATCCCAGGGTCTGTTTTTAGCCAACCCTTTACCATCCCCCAAAAAAATCCCTGATAGGGAGTGAGAAAAGTAGGAGGCAAAAGAGCCAATAAGGAAAAGACATGTAGAAGGAAAGATAGAAGGGAAGAGAAGAGGACAGAGAGAAGGACCAAGTGTTGGAACTTGTGAGGTGTTATGTTTGGTTTTTACTTTTTTTTTTTTCTTTTTTTCTTTAAACATAGAAAAACAGCCTTTGGTTTGAATCTCAAGGAAGCAGAGAGTGGCCTTGGGCAGGGAACTCTCGTCGAAAGACACCTCCACTTCCAGTGTGGAGTTGTATCTCCTGCTGCCCCCTTTTCACTAATATTGGGGTACCCGAATAGCTAGGGGTCTCTGCAGTAGCCAGGAGGAAATGGCTTCCTCTTGTCCCATGTCTGGGGACTGAGTGTAGAAGGAGGCAGTAAAGGATGACCCCAGTCCAGTTGTGCCCATCCCATTCTTGCTGGGACAAGGGTAGAATGGGGTAAGAGGCATGTGCCCTTGCTCATTGGGGGATCATTTTTGGTTACACTGAAAATTAGAAGAGAGAAGAGATAACACTCTTTTATTCCTGCCACTGACCCTAAGAACAGGGCCCAGGATCTGGAGAATGAGAGGGTGAATCCTGCTGGGGAGGAGGAAGGAAGGCGGCAGCATGACTGAGGGGTTGAGATACCCCTTTGTCATCAGGCAGCAACCTGCTAGTTCTACAGAATGGGGCCTAAAGGAGCCCCTGAGAGTCTAGGAAGGTCACTGGAGTGAAGAGGTTTGAGAGGTGGAGGAGAAAAAAAACTCTTGGCCCGCCCTCTTCCCATGCCCTGGCTCCCAGATAGGCACCTGTGGTTCCCAATGTGTCAGAGACAGAGGGTTGCAGACCTAGCCTTGGCCCCTGAGAATATAAAATTGGGGCATTCCAAGGAGAGAAAAACCACCACTGAGTAGGCTGGCAGGTTGAGGAGACTAGAGCAGTGTTGAGGGGTGTTCCAGGAGAGAGAAGAGAGATACCACATCCTAGAGGGAGGTCCTGAATGTGGGCTTTGGGAATTCATATTATTAGGGGAATATCAGAGGACCCTCAGTCCCATGGTGCTTGGGTAGAATTTCTTAAGCCCCTCCTACTTCCAAATGAAGAAATTCTTTATTTGTTCAGGAATAGTGCAAGCTGCCAAGGTGAGAGGGCACAAGAGGTATGGAGTACCAGGGTGAAGGGTCCCAGAGAGGAGATATAATGCCACAGAGCTAAGGTAGGGCCAGAGGGAGGTATCCACATCAAAAATGAAGAGTCAGGTCATGTAAAAGGTGAGCACTTAAAGCAAGAAGAAGCTCAAGGTCTCTTAATACTAAGAGGAGCTTCCTACCCCTAGGGCTGTTGGAGGAAGCTGGTTCAAAGAGAAAATTTTGGCCTAAGTGGAAGGGCGCTGGGGGTGGGAGGGTGGGAGAATGGCAAGTGATTGATCACGTTAAAAAAGAAAAAGAGGAAAATAAAAACCAACTAATTATCTTAATAAATAACTCCATGAGTGTGCTAAGATAAGAGAAGAGAAAAAGGGGAAACATAAACAAAAGGCCTGTCTCATCACGTGCTTAAATAAGTCAGGGTAGAGCAGAAGAGGTGAGGAAGGGTCAGGGTCAGATGTGAAGTCAGGTAGCCAGTGGTGAGGGCTAAAAGCAAAACCCCTTGGGATGTGGTGGGGACAGGGCTAAACACCTGTAGGTAGGGGGAGTGGAGTGGTGGACTGAGGGAAGGGGTGGAGGTCACTAGCCCACCTTATGCTCCCCCCGGACAATATGAGAAGAGAACTCGTACCGGTCCTGGCTGTGGTAACCACAGATGTTGCACTCAAAAGGGTCTCTGAAGCCGTGGCAGCCCATGTGGATAGTGAACATGACATGGTCCAGGAAGAGGATGCGGCAGTGCTCACACTTGAAGGCCTTCACGGGCTCGCCGCTCTCGCCCACCACCCGAAGCACTTCCTTGGAGGGGCCTGGGGTGCCCCGTGGTAACCCCTCCTGTGGCTTGGGGTCCTCTTTGGCGTAAGCAGGACTAGGCCGGCCCACCATAACGGTGGGAGGTGGCTGGGGTGGAGGACCCTGAGGGAGGGATACCACCCCAGCCACCCGATCTTCATGGTTGCTCTCTGTATCTGTGGAGTCCTGGCAGCCGTTGCTGGGAGATGCCCCAGGGTCAGTCAGGGGACCCCGAGTGTGGTAAAGCAGGGGGCCTCCATCAGCCAGGTCCTCAGGTCCCTCACCTGCTTCTCGGGACCCTGGGAGCTCCAGTCGACCGGGGAGGGGCTGCATCTGGGTGTAGACAGAGCTGATGACGGGCGTGAGTTCTGAAATGCAACTGGTAGGTGGAAGGCGAAGGGGACGCAGGTGCTCTGCTCCCACGAAGGCCAGAGACCCTCCATAGCCAGGTTCCAGGCCATGGTGTGCCACCAGCTCCACATCCTTCTCGTAGCCACCCGAGTTCACGTCGTAGGGCAGCTCCGAGAGGCTGAAGCGCATCTGCTTTTCGCCTGGACAGAAGTAGATGTCAGAGGGCTGGGTTTGGAGAACTCCTGTGCTCCCTCAGGTTTACTTCTTTGTTTCCTTACCCATGGCACAGGATGTCATAGTGTTTCCCACCCCTCATTTACTACCCTCGGAGCCCAGGGCCTCTCTGAGGCCGTACCCTGACTTAAGGCTGCAATCTTAGAGGAGGACTCAGTCCCAGTCCACTGATATTTCATACTTTCTGTATGACCACAAAACTCTGGGTCCTTGGAGAGCTAATAAGCGGGGCCAGGTAGTAGAACCATGTAATCACTTCCTTTCTCTGACTCTAATGGCCCTTCTTGCAGCCCATGTAGATTGCTATTCTCAAAAAGTGGGAGATTCTAAGGTACCCTGGTCCCCATGCCTTCTACCACAAGAGTCCTCAACACCAACCCCTTACCACCCTTTTGTGGTACTTCCTCCCCCTCTTCATTCCCTTCCTGTTCTGCAGATAGGCTCAGCACCAAATCCACCAGACCGCTTTATTTTCATCAATCAAATCTCCAGTTGGTCTAATGACTATCAGAGCTCAGATTTCTAAGAGCTGTGGCTGAAGGCTGATGTCTCCTCTTCATCTGGACTCTTACCTACAAACTTCTGGGGGGTGGAACGCTTGCGTTTGGTGAGGCTGTTGGCCAGACGATCAATGAAAGTTGGCCGCTCGGAGGTTGAGTGCAGCATGGAGTCTGGCACCATCTCCAGGTCACGTATCTCATCACCTGGTGGGGAGGAAGTGGGGACAGAGTTGTAGCAGCTGAGTTGGGGTGCCACTGGCCAGAAACCTTCCCCTGGAAGGTCCTAGCCAAGGATGGTCACATCCTATGCCTGGAAAACTGGACTTTGCTTACTTGACCCTACCTAGAGCTCATCCAAGTAACATTTAAAATAATTTGGGCTCAACCAAACAAACCAAACTCATTGCCGTCAAGTCGGATCCGAATCATAGTGACCCCTCCTTGAGTTTCTGAGGCAGTATCACTTCAGAAGTAGATTGCCTAACCTTCCTTCCAAGGAGTGGCTGGTGGCTTTGAACTGCCAGCTTTCTGGTTGCAGTCAAGTACTTTAGGCACTATGCCACCAGAGCTCCTAATTTGGATTCAGTTATGTACATTTGACCCTTGATTTTATATTTCCTTCTGTTCTCTCTCTTTCATTACACTGGGGACATAAACCATATTGCCCCCTACCTCTGGATCTCTTTATAGTACCTACCTCAGGGCCCTTTATCAACTGAGATGCCTACAGCGGGATATTTGACAGATTTACTGGGTAACTGTCTCCTATTCCACAGGCCTCAGCCCTTTGTTGGGAAGGTGCTAGAATTATCCTTGCCCTGCACTCCCTCTGACCCTGCCTTCAGCTCCACCATAGTCCTGCCCAGTCCCACCTGGTTGGCCAGCCAGAGCTTGGGATTCAGTGCTGAGACTCTGCAGGTAGTTGTGGCACCGCTCCTTGTGCTCCTCCAGGGTACTCTGCTGTTTGTAGCTTCGGCCACAGTAGTTACATTTGTAGGGCTTGCCCACTGTTGGGGAGGAGACTATGATGGAGAGAGGACACAAATAGTATCAGAGTTGCTTCTTCCTGTAACCTGGGTCCCCCACATCATCCAGAAGCAAGTGTACACTGGTGTTGGGGGGGCATTGCTAAATTGAATTCTTCTCTTTGTTCTTTTCCCACCTTTAGGCTAATGTGCAGTTATGAGATGAGAGGGAGGTCACAGGACATGTTACAGCTTTGGATTGGTGTGGGCCTCAAGATGGCCAGGTTGGTGCTCAAAGAAACGAGGACCAGAGACTTTGTAGGAGATTGTCCCAGGCAGGTAGGCTAGCCCCACCCCAGGTTATCTGACTCTGGGGCTCAGGCTGTGGTTTAACCTTTCCATATGGCGGGTGGGTGTAAAGTGCTGTTTATCAGACAAGGGGATTTTTTGCTCGTGAACTATGTTTTGGTTTGGGGGAAATTGGTGGGCCGGGTGACAGAAATGAGAGCCCTCAGATCTGCCTTCGTAGGGGGTGGCTTTCATTGACCTTTACTTGTACTTTTTCCTCCATCTCTAGTCTGGTCAGACTGCTTATTTTCTCTTTCTTCCTGTCTTTCTACAACACTTCTTTCTATACTGAGGTACCAAGAGCTCCTCAGAAAAACCATCACTAGTATAGAAATTCTGAGAAGAGAAAAATAATAAATGAGCAGAGAGGAAAATAGAAGAGAAAGGAAGAAAAAACCTTCAGGGGGGTTTTCTTTGTCTTCTTCCTTTAATAAAGAATTGATATTAAATATCTCATTTCTCCTGAAGAAAAAAATCATTGCAAAAACTGAAATGGACACTTCCTTTAAAGACAGCTCTTGAGCTATTTGTGAGAGGAGAGAAAAGAGTGAAGAGAAACAAGGTATTGTGTGTTTTCTGTATCTTGCTACTACTGAATAGGGAGGCAGGAGAAGGTCTCTCCAGGGGGCTGGTAATTACTGCGCACCCCATACCTAAGCTGAACCTTGATGGAGTCAATCTATTGTCATGTGCTCTTGCTCTGTAAACTGTAGTATTTTGGGGTTAAGATGATGCCATGGTTCTGTCACCCAAGACCATTGGGGAAATGGCTTTACATCTAAGAGAAGACTGATTCTTCAACCCCTTTTTTCTTATAGTGCAGGTTGTAATAGAATCTCACAGAGGTGGCACTTAATAGTGTATCTTTTTTTTTTTCAATGTTTGCTTTTGTCCTAACAATCCCCCACAGGACAACATTAAAAATATCCACTCAGTTCCTTTCACTTTTCTTCGTAAGAATTTTAGGGGCTAACCTGTCCTGTTCCAAGCCAACAGGGGGAGCCGCCCCTCCTCTGAGGAAAAAGAGCACCTGTTTCTGGCAGTAGACCTGGATATGGGATTCCAGCTCAGCTAAGGAATAGCTAGGTGACAAACCACTCTCTTTTTTTCCTTCAGTTTCCTTGTCAGCAAAACAGGGATAATAACAACTGCCTTGAATTGTTATGAGGATCACATGAGGTAACACAAACAAAATGCTCTGTATATTACATGAATTAATGATGGTCTCTCTCCCCATTTCTCCATATACATATAAAGAGATCCCAGCTCTAAGGTAAGAGAACCTAGAACCAGAGAGATGGCTGAAGAAAATAGAGGATGGTGAGGTGATTGTGCTGTTCCTTAACTCCTGGCCCAGGGGAGTATAAGAAAAGAGAAAAATACTAAGGAAAGTTTCCAAGGACAGACCTTACTAATTCTTTCACTTCTTCCCGCCTTTTCCCAGTCTTAGGCTCCCTTCTTCCTTCCAGCTAAGCTCCTGGCCTCTTCCCAAATCCAAGATAAAAGCTTAAAACTCAGTAAACACCTGAAAAGTACTATCTGTCCAGCTGATTCGGACAGATAATTGATCAGGAATCTTGGGTGGACTGGTAAACCTTAATCTTAACTCCCTGGCACTGGTCCAAACCCTGACCTCCAGGCACCCAGGCATCTTCTGGTTCTTGCTTTTGGCCTTGCTCATGCCTCTTGGGATGTGGAATGGAAAGGAGATACCCTTTTCCCCTCTGGATGTCGTATGCTCTCTTTTGTCCAGCTTGAGGGAGAGGAGGAGCCATGGATATTTACATGGAACAAGAAGGAAGTACAGACAGACAGCAGTTGGCGCAAACCTCCATTGTTGATGGGGTGGGGTGAAGATGATGGAAGGTATGGGCGTAGAGTTTGTGGGTCAGAAGTCGGATTCCCCTGGGTCTCAGAAGTGGGGGGTAAAGAAGTACAGATGACTGGCATGAGCATGAACTTTAAAAAGCAAAAGTCAGGGAGGGTGACAGTTACAAGGCAAGAGCGCTGTGTGTTCCTTTTGCTCCGTGTCATAGAGTATGGCAGGTGTAAAATACTCTAGCAGAGAGCCCCTCAAAATCCCCATGGGGTCCCACTGCCCAGGGAGGGGTTAGAGAGGCAGGATGACCCTGTCTACTCTCTAAGTGCTCTCCTCTCGTCAGTGACAAAGACTGCAGCTCCCCAAATATAAGAGAAGGTGCTGAGCTCTACTTATTGGCTGTGCTGGGCCCTCCCTCCTCCTTCTCTCCTCTTCCACTGGACAGGTCACTGACCTGAGTGCGTGCGGAGGTGGCCAGTGAGGGCATCACGCCGGCGGCAGGCATAGTTGCAGAAGGGGCATTTGAAGGGCTTCTCCCCAGAGTGCAGCTTGATGTGGCGTAGCAGGTTCCCTTTCTGGGTGAAGGAGGCACCACACTGGTTGCAGTGGAAGGGCCTCTCACCTATACGTGAAAGACCAGATCCCAGAAGACTGGGTGAGAGGAACTTTGAAGGTTGAACCTAATGCCCCATTGTCTGCCTCATCCCTCTCAAGAGGAGGTGCTTGGAACACATTTCTGAGGGGCAGTGCTGTGCCATACACAAAAATCCTGTTTTATAAAAATCGCTTGAGGACAAGAGCCCTTAGGAAGGTGTGGCAGAGAGGGGTGGCAGGCCTGGAACAGTGAGAAAAAAGACTGTTACCAAAAACAGCCCCACAGGGCCTACTCTGCTCTAGAAGTCCAAAGCCTGAGGAAGCTGGGAAGAGGAGGTATCTGCTGTCTTTTTTTTTTTCTTTCCATGAGGAGGTCGAAAGGCCCAAACTATACCCAGGATCCTTCTTGAGACCATAACAGCTTCCCCAACCTCATGTACTGAGAAAAATTCTTACTAGCTTTTCATTACAACAACTGTGGAAAGTGCCAGGGAGGTACAGGTGTTGAAGAGAGTCCAAGTTCCACCTTCCTTTTATTCTGTTAACTAGAAACTGTGCTGGGAGAGACCTTTCCCTTCCCCCACTCCCAGTATGGCCTCCTCCAGCCATACTATCACCCTGGCACCACCTCTTCCTCTCAGCCCTGAACCCCTCTGGCTTACTTACCAGTATGGCTACGCTTGTGCACCATGAGCACGTTGGGTCCAATGCAGACCATGCCACAGACATCACACTTGAGCTTGCCATTGGGCAGCCGGATGCCACCAGGGGAGTGAGGCTCTGGGCCACTCCCATCACAGTAGCCCAGGGGCTCAGACAATGAATCTTCCACAATCACACTGTCATCCTTCTCCAGGAGCCGCTCATCTGGCCCCAGCAGTCTGCTCGACTCCTCATCGCTGTACATCTCCACCTTGATGGAGTTGGCTGGAGGGTGGATTAGTGTTTAGGACAGAGACAGAGAGAGGAGCTTGTTCCCAGGCCAGAATGGCACCCCTGAAGTCCAGGAGGCTGTCTCCAGGCCCTGAAATGTTTAGGCCCTAAAATGAGCCAGCACCCTAGTATTCTGGGTAGGTAAATCAGGGTCCTGCTGGGACCTGAAGCAACTGTTTCCTTCTCTCTCACTCGCTAGGCAAACAGACTTCAAGAGAAACAAGTTGGGGTATGTAGGATGTCTTTTAGGATTGGGAAGAGAAGAAAGCTAAGGGGAGCCTTTTCCTCCACTCTCTTGTCATTAAGAAAGATGTCTGGTTTGGCCCTGGGCAGGAAGCCAGCGAGTAACAGTGGCGGGAAAATAGTCCTAAGAAGACTGAAGGGACAGTAGGCTAAAGAGAGAACAAAACCGGAAGACAGACATGGTTCACGTTCTCCTACCTCAGAAGACTGAACCCCTCTATCCTCCTCCCTCCATACAATTCTGAGGTGGTGGGGGGAGTGAAGGAAGGAGGAGTTACTGAGGAAAATGCTTTGGCTCTCGTTCTGACCTACATTCCTGGCTATTCCAACCATTTAGAGAATGTCATAGATCTAGGGCCAGCTGGGGAGGGGCAGTCTTAGGGACCCTGTCTGGGCAGGAGAATGGTGGTAGTGGGTAATGGAGAGGTCCTTCTCCTCTCTATTTCCTGTTTAGCTTCAACTAGTGACTATTTCTATCTACCTGCTTTTCCAATTCTAAAGTTTCCCTTTGGCCCCTTTACCTTAATCCCACCCATTGCCTCTTTTATTTCCATCCTAGTCTAGCAGTGATCCTTCACTCTCCTCGCAGATGCCAGGAAAACCCTGGACACTGAGCTACTTAGTGCTTTTGAAGTCTCTGAGCAGGAAACAAGAGTGAGGCAATCATGGGGAAATGGTTGCCTATGGGCGGTGAATCAAGGCCCAAAAGCAAATGGGGTGCCTAGTGACAGAAGTGGGTAGAAAGGTGCACTTACCACTGAGTGAGCGACTAGGAGAAGAGTGCTGGCTGTTGGGGGTGCTCACTGAGGGCCCCACTGGGGCCCCAAGAAACTCCTTCTCCAGAGATGAGTCCCCGCTACCTTGGAGGAAAGAATAAGACAGTAGGTGAAGTTAGAACTACAGTCACGCACTACCTGCTGCCTCATCTTTAAAAACTTCAGTTACATTCTACAAATAATTCATTTTATAGCCACATACAAGGCAGTGCCATTGGTAACACCATACCTTGTATCCCCGCCGGCCTGGGTGCCCAGTGCTGACTTCCGCGAGCTCAGTGGCTGGGCCTTGCCCACCCTACCTTTATCTAGGCCTGAGGGGAAGAGCATCACTGCCTGACGTCCACAGGAAGCAGGGCTGGGGCTGGGCGGGCCAGGGCGGAGAGGAAAATGGGGGCCTCAGGAGGGAGGCGGCTCAGGACAGACGTTCTTCCCTACTGTTCCTCTCCGGAGCCCCCAACACCAGGTTCGGGATCTGCAGGAAGGGCAGCTGGAATTGTCCCTGAATCTAATGATAATAATAGTAATAATAACGATAGCAGCTAACATTGAGTACTTTATCTGTGCCAGGTATTGTTCTATACGTTTTAAATGAATTATCTCATTTAATCTTTAAAACAACCCTATGAAGTCAGTTAACTTTGCAGATGAGGAAACAGGCACAAAAGAGGTTATGTCACTCGCATAAGGTCACACTGCTGGTAGTAGTAGAACTGGGATCTGATTGCAGATATTAAGCGGCCCATATTTTTAACCACCTCTTACACAGCCAATTGGGAGTGACTGTTTCGATATGGGAGAGATGGGCTCATGAAGACTTTCTAGAGGAAGCAAAAATTTGACTACTCCAAAAAGCCTGCTATCTAACATGATTCTGATCAAATATTTACTACTTAGTATTTCCATGACATAATCAATTTACTTTCAATATTTTCATTTTAATTTGTTGACATTGCTTTGTAAAAATGTATTTTCAGAGTTTCATGTATGTTTTTGAAAATCAGATGACATACCTAAAGATATTAATTTCTTTTTAAAAAATCCCTCCTCCCCACAGTCTTCTGCACAAATAACACAGGTGAAGTAAACACACATGTAGACAAATACACACATACACAGACATGTATCATATATGTGGATAAACTTAAAGAGAATATGCATACTGAGTTACACACACTCAGCCTCAAACATTATCTCTAACATGAACATGCATGGATGTGTGCACACACAGGCCTAATCATGGAATAGAGAAAGAGACAAACCCTAAAATCCATCCCTAAAGTCCACCTATTAGTACTTTACCCAATTGCCCAGCTACGCACATACTTACTTTCACAAAATAAAGATTCCATTATAAAATGGTTGGAGTCTTGGGCCTGAGGCAAGAAATCCGGAACACACCCTCCTGAGGGATCCCTCTCCAGCTTTGGTCAGTGGGAAGAAAACAACCACTCAGGACTTTGGGACCATTTCTCATTCATATCCTCTCCTAAAAGTCCCATCTCCCCCATTTTATCCCTTCAAAGCCTGAGAAAATTTGCTGACTATCTATAGGAAAAACAAACAAGCAAACAAACATGAGGCTTAAAACTTAGTTTCTCCAACTGGGGCTCTTTAGGTGAGCCATGGGAAAAAAAAAAAAGTTGCCTGAAATCAGAACCATGCACACATCATGAAATGAGCATCTCATAGCTGTGGGTTTAGACTTGTAGAGTCAGGCCTAGTTTTAAAGTACATCCTTCAACTAAGTGTAGGGTTTACTGAGACTGGAAGGGCTAAAAGGGTATCTTCCCATCCCTTTCCACATGTTACTGCTGACTTACCCTAAATCACTTGATGTTGGTCATAGGGGAAGAACAGGGCTCTGGGCCCTGGAACTGAGTCCTTGACTCTTATCTAAAAGGAGGAGAGAGCTTGCTGGAAACAGGCTGGTCCTAGCCCCCTAGACGAGGTTGCCTGTCAGCACCTTGCTTGTGATATGGGGAAAATACCTTTACATGGACATTAAGGGGATAATATCCTTTGTGGCTCTCTGTATAAGACCTGGCAATAGGAAGAACAGGCTCCTCCAGACTCCACCAGGAGTTCAAGTGGCTCTTTGACGCTGTTACCCTCTCTACTAAGGCTGAGAGGGACAGCAGGCTCAAGTCTACTTTTATGGGGCTAATACATAAAAATGAGTCAGTTCCAGGGGTCAGAAAGTCTTTCTGGGGCCCCAGGGGTTTTGTGTTCTAGCCTGAGGGTGAAGGGTACTGACTAGTCAGATTTAGGAAGTTCAGCAGTTCCTCTCTCAGCCCTAGAAACCCCAGTGAGGGAATTTCAAATGTGTGGGACTCCCAAGAAATCCCAGACTGTCAAAGCCAAGAATTAAGGTTGCTGTCAGGTCTGAGAAATTTTCTTGCTCCAAGTCATCATAGATTGGCTGAACCCCACAGAGGGCAAAGCTAACTCATGAGGTTTCTACCGGGGAGTTAAGAGGTGGGTAGAGGGCAGAAAAGCTGGAGTGAGGGAAAGCAACCAGGGAAACAGCCCATAAATGCTAAATGTGTTTCACATGTTGAAGGAGACTAGTCCTCTGTTCTTGTAGCCTTTCCTTGAACCCTTCAAAGAGTGGGCTATCTCTAGGGAATAGACATGAGGTTGGAGAAAGCCCTGAACCTCCACACTTCTCTGCAAGGACTCTCACCATAACTGCATTCCCTTTCTTGACCATGGGCTCCTGGGTGGCAAGCTGCTAGCCTGCTAGCGGGGAACAGTGGGCACAAGAGCAAAGAAAGCCGCCCATCCTTAGGTCTATTGTGGGGAGGAGAGGCTGAGGCCCCTTAGATCTCTGTTGCAGGCTGAGGCGGCTGCCGCCAAAGCTCCTCTTTCCACCTCGATTCTCTCCACTCCCCATTCCCATCCAGGCCTGTCTCGGCATTTCACCCCAAGCAGCTCTTCATCTGTCCCTAAGGCCTAATCAAGATGTCACCACTAGCTTCCACTGTCCAAGTCACTGTCTTTGCTTAGCAACGCCAAACACCCTTTCTCATCCTCCGCAAGTGTGAAGAGGAACGCCCCCTCCCCCCGCCACACACACACACAGCCCCCATCCTCTCCCTCTCCTCAGGCTTGGGAGTTGTTACAGAATTGGCTCCCTAGCCCCAGCACCCCCCTTACCCCCCTCCACTAGCCGCCTTCTGCCTGAACTTACATTATCCTTCCCTTGCCGGTGAGACCCTGGGGTGCGAGCGCGGCCGCCGCCTTGGAAACGGCGAGGGAGTGCGGGTGGTGTGTGCATGTCTGCGTCTCGGTGGCAGGCAGGGGTGAGCCCAGCCACTCACCTTCCAGGAAGCGTGGATTCCTGGAAGTGAGGGGAACCGCCGTCATTTCGCAGGCAGCGGCAGCGGCACGGTGAGCAGGGGCCCACGGCTGCAGCCAGCAAGAAGAGCTCAGCCCAGGGTGTATGTGTGTGTGTGAGAGAGAGAGAGAGAGTGTGTGTGTGTGTGTGTGTGAGTGTGTGTGAAAGAGCGTGAGCGCGGGAGCGTGAGCAAGCTTGGATATGCTTGGGGAGGGGGCTGGAGAGAATATATATGTGTGGATTGGGGGGTGCTAGGCTACAGCATCCCTTTCCTAAGCAAGTGAAGGGGTGGGAGTAGGGTTGTGCACAGGGAGGGGGAGGCAGATGCCATTGCCCTTGTGCCCAGCAGACAAAGAGGAACTGCACAACAAATGCCTGAGAGAGACAAGTGTGTGCAAGAGAGAGAGAGAGATGGATGGGCCTGCAGGGTGGGAGGGAAAAAGGGGGGATGCAGGGAAGGCCCAATCCTTTGCCAGCTGGGGAAGCCCTGGCCCCAGAGGTCATGGGGCCCAGGACACAGAACAGCTTGGAGGCTCTCTGAGCGGCCCCAAAAGGCTCACCACCACCAAACTCAGACACGCCTTTCCCTCCTCCTCTAGGAGGGGGGTTGCTCTCAGATTTAGGGACAGACAGCCTCTTCCTTCCCAGCTGCAAGGGCCCAGCACTGTCTGGTCTCAGACTAGTGTTGCTGTATGGCCCTGAGCCTTTTCAGATCCTGGTACAGTCTCTCCACCACCCTTCTCCTCCTGCGCCCCAAGGGCCCCAGCAGCCGACAGCCCTGGATGAATCTGCCCTCTATCAGGACAAGGCCTCTGCTCCTTCCCTTCCAGAGGAGCTGCTTACTGACGTCCTGACCTACTTTGGAAGACTAGATTTTCTGATTCCAAGAATTTGGGGGTGGGAGGGGCCGTGACACTTTGGGCTGCCTACCCCTGGATTCCTTTCTACTAAGGTTCTCTTAAACATTTCACAGTCCCAGAAAACTTGGGACCAAGGCTGCTCAGTCAATTAATTGCTTGAGCTAGGTTTGAGCGACTCAGTTTCCCTTGAAAGACAAACTGGGCTGGGCAGAGAATCTGTGGTAAGTTAATGGACTCCTCCTCCTTCCACTTCCCTCCTTAAATGAGAAAGGGGGTCAGACTCAATAGTTTACCTTACTTTACCCAGGTGTTGCCAATGACTCTCAAGTCTGACTCATCTTGCTATCTCCCTTAGCTCATGCTAGTAATTCCTCCATTGGTTCCACTTCAGAGTAAAAAATGAAGCTATAGGTAATTTCCAGTGCTGCCTGGATTTCTGATGGGGATACTCTTCATGTCAAAACCCAATCCTGGCTTCCCTTGTCTCTTAATCATTTCCTGTCCTGGCATTCTAAGGGTCCGGAAGAAAAAAAAAAATTCCTTCTGTCTTAGAGACAAACTCTACCTTCAGCCCTTTTCTACACCCTCCGAGATAAAGCCAGAGCCAGGTAAAGTTCCTAAATTCTTTCCATTATGTTAAACCTTGGGAGGCTATTGATTACTTCTACATCTTTAAAACCATTCGTACTGAAAGTAAAGATCTTTCTGTCTTAGTAGAGTATGTAGGAGCTCTGGTAGCATAGTGCCTAAGGCACTTGACTGTTAACCAGAAGGCTGGTGGTTCAAACCAGCCACTCCTTGGAAGGAAGGTTGGTTGGGCAATCTACTTCCATAGTGATACCACCTTGGAAACCCAAGGAGGGGTCGCTATGAGTTGGGTCCGACTTGATGGCACATAACAACAACAACAACAAGTAGCAGTATCTGACAGGTGTAAAAAACTAAAGCACTTTAAGATCATGGAAAAGGATTGGGGAAAATGAGAATAGGGCTCTATATGCCTACTTCAAGTTGTAAACCGTTGGCCCACTGGCTGGATTCAGACACTGATTCAAAGTTTGGCTTACCCTATGGAGAATTTTTTAAACCACTGAGTACTTTTAAATAGTAATATTCCAAATAAAAATCTAGAAATTTATACACATCCATTTCAGTGTGATGGATTGCTTTTTATATGGCCTTTCTCACCATCATCTTGTAATTCCCATGAGATGATTGGGTGTGGCTATGCAAATAAAGTGATTTTGGACAGCTTGCTAACAATGCAAATAAGGTGCATGGTGGCGGTAGGACCATGCAGATAAGGTGTATGGAACCCTAACAAGGGATTGGTCTGTTTTGTCATCCCAGAAGCAGGAAGTAGGGACCTCACTACCACCAAGAAAGGAGCTAGGAGTGGAGCATGTCCCTGGGACCTAGGATCCCTGCACTTGAGAACCTCCTAGACCCATGAGACAGACAGAGCTGTAACACCGGAGACAGTGTGAGACAGCAAGAAGCCCTGGCAGAGAAACGGCGGCACAGAGGCAGCAGAGCCAGGAGATGGCACGGTGGGCTTCCCAGCCCACAAAGTGAGAAAGTTGAGTGCCTTCAAGCAGAAGGCTTGCTGGCAGAGTGGGGTCCCTCTGGGCACTTGGCAAAGCTAGGGTCCCCAACCCACAGAGCTAGAGAGCTGAGTGCCTTAGGCCTGAGTGGAGTAGCTCAGGCACTTACTGGTGGAGCTAAAGAGCTTTGTAACATTTTCCTGAGCAAGGCAGAAGCTGGGCTGGCCCAAGAAACTTGAGGGGCCAAGGGCCAGGGAGAGGACTAACTGTGGGCACGGCCAAGAAGCTGCCCTGACCAAAGAACTGTATCTGTATCCTGAATCATTCTTGATCCTGAATTGTAACCTGTTACTTCCCAATAAACCCCGTTACTTTGAGTATGGTCTGTGAGTTCTGTGTGGCCACTGCAACGAATGATCAAAGCCAGCAGAGAAGTAGAGAATATAGTTCTGCTGTCAGAATTGGTAAACAGGTTGAAAGAGCAGAGGTATGTCTGGCCTCCCCCTAATAGGAATCAGCCTTGAGCTGTTGATCTTGATTTTCCTTCCCCCTTGTGCAGTTAGAGGAAGTCAGATACCCTCACTACACCATACTAGATGTACATTCCTGCATGGCAGTGACTGGGTGGCAGCTGAACAGCTGCTATTCCCTTGAGGTGGGCATGTTCCCATGATAGTCCCTATTAATCTTCTGTCCTTATTACCCTAATCAGCTTCACTCACTGACATGCCCACTGGCCTTGCACACCTCTGAGGCTTGAGATCCAGCTTCACTCTCTACAGGATTTCATGTTTGGCTAGTAACCTCAAAGCACAGGAGAAAATGGGAACACTTCTTCCTTTCCATCTTGTACCATTATTCTTCTGTCTGATGGTCTCCACTTATATTCCCCTCCTAGTCCCTTCCCCCGACCCTGTCATCCAAGAAGTCTGGGAAAGAAAATCACTATTGAGGGAACATGAAATCACAACAATAAGTGCATATTATCAAGTACTAGCAAGCATGAGTGTCAGCTTTGTGCCTAGGCTGAAGGCTTCCTGCCCTTTTCACAGGAGTGTCTGCTCCCAGCCCCTTACAGACAGAACAAACAAGAGGGTGTACCAGACATATAGGAGCGGCCATTGCAGTCTTCTATGTCCATCTTAGTGATTCTGCTGAAAGAAGAAAAGAGCTGCTATTAGAAGCCAGATCTGGAATTGGGGTGTTCTCTCTAACATTTTTAAGTTAACAAGCAACCTAAAGGATCATTTAAGATTGGTCTGATACTCCTAAAGAAGGACCATCTCTGTCTTGATGAGAAAAACAATGTAGTTTCCTCCTATGTACAACTTCTGCTGGCTTCCCCAGCCTCTGGGGTGAAAATACTATTTTATTCCACAGTTGTCCTGATTGCATTATGTTCTGAGAGTAGACTCTCTCCCTGTAGGTGGAGCTGATGGTGGGGAAAAGAAGCTGAATTATACCTCAGTTCTCAGGAGGCAAAGAAACAGCCCCCGTAGATGCTGGTATCTTAGATAATGGTAAAGTGATGAGTAGGCAGTCCCTTAGTGCTACAAATGGTTAATTAACATGCTTGGCTGCTAACCAAAAGGTTGGAGATACAAGTCTACCCAGAGGTACCTTGGAAGAAAGGCCTGACTATCTACTTCTGAAAAGTCAGCTGCTGAAAACCCTATGAAGCCTGAGGCTGCTTATGTGCAACCATATACCTCATGGGATTTGGTTTGGAGGTTTAGGGTCATGGTTTCATAGGACATCCAGTTAACTGGCTTAATAATGTGTTCAGTGCTTCTCTTCTGCCTCCTAGTTCATTGAATAGTGCCTGGGTCTTAAAAGCTTGAAAACAGCTATTCAAGGCACTATTGGTCTTCATTCAGCTGGAGCAGCAGAGGAAGGAGTGTCAGGAATAGGAAGAAGAAATGGAATGTGTGGCTGCTTGCCTCCATGAACAACTGCCTCCTTCGCCATGAGAACAAAAGAACTGGATGGTGCCTGGGTACCATTACTGAACATTTTGATCAATGATTCTATAGCAGAATCCTGATCAAAAGGGGAGAAATATAGGGCAGAATTTCAAATTCTCATGAGTTCCAGACTTTCTGGAGCCATGGAGGCTGAATGAACTGAAACTATTGTCCTAAGATAACCTTGAAACCTTAAAACCAAAAATATCCCCTGAAGTCTTCTTAAAGCTAATTGAGACTTAAGTAGTAAAGAATGTGTGCCTTGAGCAATATGCTCTATCTATAAGGGACAACAGCAACTCAAAAAATTAGATAGGAAACTTAAGGGCAATGAGTTAATTTTAATGGGGGAGGAACAACTCAGAAAAGGAGAGTGAAAATGGTTGCACAATTTGAATATAATCAATGTCACTGAATTGTACATGTAGAAGCTGTTGAATTGATGTATGTTTTCCTGTGTATATTCTCAACAATAAAAATAAATAAAATTATATATGGAGTACAGTTCAACTCTGACACACGTGGGGTCACTATGCATTGGAATTTATTCAAAAGCAACTTTATAATTATTATTATTATCATTGTTGTTGTTGTTAGGTGCTGTCGATTAGCTTCTGACTCATAGCAACCCCATGCACAGCAGAACAAAACACCGCCCGATCCTGCGCCAGCTCCATGATCCTTGCTATACTTGAGCCCACTGTTGCAGCCACCGTGTCAATCCATCTCGTCGAAGGCCTTCCCCTCTTTCGTTGACCCTCCACCTTACCAAGCATGACATCCTTCTCCAGGGAATGGTCCCCTCTGACAACATGACCAAAGTA